TTTTTGAGGCAGTTTGTCTCTATGCAGTCCTGGTTGGCCTTGATCTTACTCTGTAGCCCAGGTTGGTCTTGAAATCTCAAAAATCACCCTGCCTCAGTTTTCCCAGTGCTGGGATTACAGGTGGGCACCACCCAGCCTGGCTGTTCCTCTCTCTTTAAACTAAAAGTAAAAAAAAGAATGAAAAGCAAATGCTGTTCCAGGAAGAAAATTAGTGTTGTGACTTAGATAAATACCAAAGATATAAATTGCCCTTTTAAAATTACAGAGGTGTCAGTGCCTTTTGGCTCTGATCTGTAATGCCAGCCCTGTGGTTGCCTACAGAAGGAGAATTCCAATATTTTTCCAGCCTGAAGAACTCCACCAGCTCCTGTCTCAAAGTAAACACTTCACTGTGTGTGGTGGCTCACTCGGGGATTATTTCAGCACACTGTAGGCTGAGGCAGGATGGTCAGAATTTGAGCACTAATTCAGGCATAAGCAAGACGTTGCCTGAAAACCAAAACACAAAGTTGTTTAGAAGTTCTGTATTTGACCATTAAAGGGGTCCATTCTAAGTAGTGCAAAGCATGGAAGAGGGAAGGAGGGAGGGAGGGAAGAAGGAAGGAAGGAAGCAGGGAAGGAAGGAAGGAAGGAAGGAAGGAAGGAAGGAAGGAAGGAAGGAAGGAAGGAAGGAAGGAAGGAAAAAATGAGGAGAAGAAGGGATGAAGAAAGACTCTAGCTGCAGCCCATTCACAGATTCCTTCCCAGATCAATCCATGCTCCTCCCACAGCTGCCCTTCCTGCGTCTGGGCTCATAGATGGAGAATTTCTTGCTCCTCAAAGAAACACTTCATTTCACATGTGCACAACTGGAGTCTGAACACAAGGAACTGCTGCCCTTTGGCTGGATCACAGCACCACTGGGGGCTATTTTGCCCCTCTACTATTTTTCTCATGATGAAGCTTTGCACCAGGTACATTTGCATGGGCTCCCATTACAAGCCTTTTTTATTTTTCATGTTCTGACATGATGTTTGCAACTGAGAGTCCCTTCTGGTGGTTCAGGCTTAAAATCCAGCACACCAGAGGCTGAGGCAGCAGGATCCCCGGATTAACTGGGTGAAAAGGGTGGGAACCAATCAGGGACCTGAGCGTGCTGGGAAGGGAGGACCAGGGAAGGTACCGTGTGGCTAAGAAGGGGGATAAAAGAGGGGAGAGTCTGAGGGAGAGGTGCTCAGGCCTGGAGTTTCCAGTCGCTGCTGGTCCTGCTGGGATACCTGGAGCATGTCGCCATCACCTAAATCTGCACCTGGTGAGTCCTTGGCCTTCAGGAGAATGCTCCACATCTCCAACCTCAGTTAGTGTCCTGTGGGCACAGAGGTTCCATGTGGCACATATGATCCTGTAACTTCTTTCTCTACAGATAGACAGGCTTGGGGTTTTGTGGTTGCTTTCATTATCTGATCCAAGGTCTTGCTATTTCACCCAGCTCGATTTCAACTCAGTACACATTTCAGGCTGGCCTTGAACTTTTAAGTAGACCAAGCTCATCTCAAACTCACTTGGGACCCAGTCTCCCTACTACTGGGATTTCAGGCAGGTAGCAGCTAGCCTGCATTTCATGCAAGTCTTGAAGATAATCCTCTCCCTGGGTGGCCTCCTCCTCCCTAACTGGGCACATGGCACAGCACAGCCCAATGCTCATGTCTTTGTTTGAAACTATTTCTCACAATAAACTACAAAGCATGGCTGGAGGAACACCCATGAAATCCCACCACTCTGTAGCTTCCAGACTTACATAATGTAATCAACGCTGTACTATTAAAATCAATTTGTAGAAGATGCAGGGTGCTTTGGCAGCGTCTTCCGGACCTCAGGATTTGAGAAAGTACAAGACAAAGAACACTGGAGATAGCCACACATTCTCAAAGCCACCTGTGCTGATACAGGAACGCTGGTCAAGGTGCAGAAATGGGTAACAGTGCAGCCTCCAATCAGCAGCCAGAGGAACTGAATAACACTCTCTCAGCGGTTATTAGCAAACTCCCACAAAAAACAATTGCAGAGGACATTTGGAGTTTCCACAAAATTCACATGCTTTCTGAAAACAAATCTGGTATTTTCTAAAGAAAACTTCCAGAATGCCAGAGCCCCTAAACTCTAAACTGTGACTTCCTGAGGTTGCTGTATATTCTTCCGACAAGGAGCTTCACAGCCCAAGAAATGGCCCAGCCAGTTCCTCACAACACGACGTGTTCTTCACACTGAGTTTGTTTCCACTGCCAGGTGATGGACGAGCCAGGAAACCAAGGGAGAGGGACACACATCAGACCCGTATCTGTTCATGCCAGCCCTGGTTTAGGAGGAGATTCCTGGTTCTACAATTTTCCAAAATGAAAATTCACTGCTTCATTTCTCTGAGCCAGGTGCATTGTGGGAAGTGATAAGTTAAATACTGGGCCATAGGACTTTCTACTTTCTTGATTCTGTTTCCTTGGGGTGAGGATCAGAATATTTTCCCAAACCTGGTGGAAGTCAGTATCAGATTCCTTGGTTCCCATTTCAGAGAAGGTCCAGAGTCTGAGGGCTGGTGTAGGAAATGTGTCTTTTGCTCTCACCCAGGTTCACCTGGGAGTATCAGACATTCTTCCTGGGCTCGCTACAGGCAGAAGTAAGGCTATGGGACCAGAAGCCAAAATACATGTGCAACGGACTAAGGACATTTCCACCCTTGTCAGAGCACAGATGTTGTGGTTGTAGGTTGGTTTGATGACAGAGGAGAATGGATTTCCCAACCTCACCTGAAAAGATGTGTCTCTCTTCAGTGTTTCCCCAGCACCCCTGGCCTTCCACATTCATCAAGATGAGCACCCAGTCTGCACACCAACTACAGAACCTGGCAGTTCAGACCTTGCTGAGGGACAAAGCCTTGCCCATTGAGGCCCTGGAATATTTGCCAGGAGAGCTGTTCCCACCACTGTTCATGGAGGCCTTCACCAGGAGTGATGCAGAGGTCCTAAGGCCATGGTGCTCTCCTGGACCTTCCCCTATCTGCCCATGGGAGCACTCATGAGCATGAGGAAAGCAGAGGCCTTGGACATTCAGGTGGAAGCTGGCCAGATGCAGGAAAGGATGTTCCACACTGTGTTGGATGGGCTTGATGTGCTACTGAGCCAGAAGGTTCGCTCCAGGTGAGTGGAACCCAGGTATCCTGCAGGGAGGGCCCCAGATTCCAGGAAGGGCAGAAAGTGTCAGGGAGAGTGAGGGCTAAAGTGTGGAGCAGTGGCTTCTGATGGTGCTTTGCAGAGGATCAGAGAACGCTTGGGCATTGCTGGCCCACCTGGGCAGGCACTGCCTGATTGGGAGCTGAGCTGAGGGTGGAGGTGAAGGAACAAGAGGTTCCTGACTCCTCATACAGGCACAGGATGTCAGGACTGGGCTGGACCCAAGGGGAAAAGAGAAGTAGAAAACTACAATGTAGAAAGAGTAGAGGGTATAGCCACAGATTTCAGAGAAGAGGAAAGCAGAGGAGGAGACTGGGTCCCTGCCTAAATTCTCAGACTCTTCTGCCTCACCCACAGGAGGTTGAAACTGAAAGTGTTAGATATTTGGGTTGCGCACCAGAACTTCTGGAGAGTCTGGGCCGAAAATGAGTTGGAAGTCTGCTCTGAAAAAGCCCTGAAGAAGAGAAAAACAGAGACGCCTTTTTCAAGGGGAGCAAAAAAGCAGCCTGTCAAGGTGGTTTTAGATCTGTGGCTTTCTCAGGAAGTTCTGTGCCCAGAGGAAAGCTACCTTCTCAAGTGCGCCCGGAAAAGGGAAGATGTGGTGCAGCTAGAGTGTAAGAATCTGTGTATAACAATCACATGCTATCCCACGGCCACGGAGTACCTGGAAATGCTGAGCCTTGATTCTGTGCAGGAGCTGGATGTGGGTCACTGCTGGACACTCTTGACTTTGGCTCAATTTGCCCCTTTCCTGGGCCAGATGCGAAACCTTCACAAACTCGTTCTGTCTGACATCTCTGTGCCGGCCATCATTTCTGCAGAGAAGAGAGAACAGTTGTTTGCCCAAATCACTTAGTTTATCAACCTTCATTGTCTGCAAGAGATTTATGTGTACGCTGTCGACTTGCTGGAAGGCTGTTTGGACCGTGTCCTCAGGTAAGTTGCGGAGCTCTCTCTGCAAGAATAAGAGCTTTTTTCTCTGTTCTCAAAAGATTACTGACCATGGATAGGTTACACTGCAGACATGTGAGAGCGGTCAAACACTAGAGAATCAGCCAATTGGCTTTTTCACTCCTTAGTGCTTCAACATGGTGTCCCTGAGCCACTGTACCAGAAGAGCCTGACTGGACAGGGCAGACATTTTTGGACACCAGCAGGAGGGGTCAGATAGAAAGAGGACAGGTGTGTGAACTCTTCCTCAGAAATCCCACCTAGTAGAAGGGCTCAGAAACACCAAGTCCTCTCTGATTCACCAGTAGTCCCCAAGAGAAATGTCTGCCCCAGGATGGGCTGGTGACCAGATGGAGGTGCAGGGGTCTGAGCCTGAGGGCAAGGAGCACATGTGCAGGACAGGGAGCAGGGACACAACTGCTGGCAGCGTTTTTAGGCAGCCCAGTATCTGTGGCCTCATCTTGCCTGCTCTTTGCTTCCCACCTGGCTCCTGCTGCCCTCATCAGGAAAGCGCTGAAGTTTCTGCTTGGTACTGAGGAAAGGGGACTGGGGAGATCCAAGATAAACTCAAGCAGGTGATGGTAAAATTGTACCCAGACTAGGCTGACTCATGGGACACTTGGTACACCGTCTTGCTCTTCCTGGAATAACCTCTTTTCCCCACCAAATGCAGATCTAACTGCCTGGTCTCTCTGCAGGTGCCTCCCTTCCCCACTGGAGACTCTCTCATTATCTCATTGCCAGCTCTCAGACTCTGACTGGATCCAGCTTCCTCATGCTGAGCCGATCAGACAGCTAACACTTCTGCATCTGCATTGCATCAGGCTGACGGCTTTTAACAGTGAGCCCCTCCAAAGTCTACTGAAGAACATTGCAGCCGCCCTGACCACCCTGCACTTAGAAAACTGTGGCATCACAGATGCACATGTCTGTGCCATTCTGCCATTCCTGAGCTGCTGCTACCAGCTCACTACCTTCTGCTTCACGAGGAATTTCATGTCCATAGACACCATGAGGAAGCGGCTGGCCCACACCGCCAGGATGATCAACTTAACCCGGGAGCTGTACTCGGCTCCCTCACAGCTTTTTGTTTCTAGACATGGAGTCCGCCAGCAGCTACAGAACCGCCTGTGTGAAGAACTTAGGAGCATGGTGAAGCCCCTAAACCATCCCAGGACTGTCTGCTTCAGTACTGTTCACTGTGAACTCTGTTGCCACCGGCCAATCTATAACATGCACCTGACGCCATATCAGGGATGCATTCCCATCTAGATGAATTCACATATGATACATTTCCTTCTGGAATCCGGGAACACCAAGCTCTCCTTACAGTGTGAGTGAAAGAAGTACAGGTGAGCCAAGAGGCAGCAACCTCTGAGACTCACGGACGTGAGAGCAGAAGTCACCTTTACGGACTTAGGACATAGACGGGAGCAGATCGAGGAATTTGACTGGTTCAATGTCAAATCAGCTTGAGATGAATGTGTGCATGAATGTAAATGAATAATCAGAAATAAAGAGATTTGCATGTGAAGCGTCTGGTTTCCTTCATGCTCATGTGTCCCGGTTTCCAGCTCAGAGCTCATGAATCTGCAGTCACTGGGGAGAAAAGGCCCTGAGTTGTCTGCTCAATGCGGTTTAGCTTCAGGAACTCATGGCAGCCAATAGATATATTCCATGATGTCCCTTCCCTCCCTTCCTTTGTCTTTCTCTAGCCACAGGTTCCGTCCATGCTTCCTGGTATTTCTCCCCCTTCCTAACATACCCTTGTCCCTGGGACTCATCGCAGAGCCTGCCCACTGTGCTGCAGCCGCAGAAAGTTTGCTTTGAGACAAAGTCCTTGTCAATGTCTGGGCTGGGCTTGCACTTCTGGTCTCTGCCCTGCTGCTCCACAGCGCCCTCAGTACAGTTGTGCACCTCTTTGCCCACATTTTCTCCCTCATTCCTGTGCCTTTCTTTTGGATTAATCAAAGGATGCCCAACTGAAGTATATTGCAGAGAGAAAGTGTCTCAAGTAGGGTTCCTTTGGGAAGAGCAGGGGCTGTGATCAGGACTCTGCCTTTACTGTGGGAGCCACTGGGGATCCCAGGGTGTGAGAAACAAATGGGAAGCTTCTCATGAAAGTGAGTATGTGTGAGCTGCAGTGACAGAAAACATTTTGGTGGCAGGACCCAGGGCCACAAGGGTGTTAAGAAATAAATGAGATAGGCTGGCTATGGTGGCCAACACCTCTAATCTCAGCATGCATGAAGCTGAGGCAGTAGGGTCACTGTGAGTTGGAGGCCAGCCCAGGCTACATAGGGAGTTGAAGGCAGCATCACTTACATAGTGACACCCTGTCTCCAAAAAATGAATTAAGTGAGATACTGTATATTTCTCTGTATGTATTTCTGTGTATTATACCAGAATATATGTTTACACACTTGATTTTCATTCTTCTGAAAAAGCATCATTTTTGTTGTTGTTTGCATTACTGGGGATGACATCCCGTGTCCTCACATTTGCACTTCAATCACAAGAGTTTTTAGCTATTATTGTGCAAAGGTCTCACTAAGATGCCCAGGATGGTCTCAAAGCTGGGTACGGTGGCATACACTTGCAGTCCCAGCACTCAGAAGGCTGAGGCAGGAAGTGCAGCAAGAGTTAATGGCCAGCCTGGACTACATGATTAGTTCAAGTCCAACCTGCACTACATAGTAAGAAGCTGGATCCAAAAAAAAAAACTAAAGCAAATAATAAAATATGCTCTCTAGGCTGGGCTGAAATTTGCAAGATTCCTATCTCATCCTTCCCGAGTGCTGGGATTACAGGCTTGCACCACCATGGTTGGTGTATAATAGCACCTAGAATACAGAGTAATTGAATGTGAAACTTTCTCTTACAGGAAATATAGGATTGGTTTCCATTGTGCCTCTGGTCCTATTTTCATGGAGAGATCCATACATAACCTTGGTTCTTGTATGTTTCTGTTGAAAGACTCCTTATTTAATGCACATTGGGTGTACACTGACTGCAAGTATAATTAAGGACTGGAGAATCCCCTTCATGACAAAGATTTTCTTTCTCATGCTTCTTGCACTTAGGAACCTGAGTTTGCAGGCATCATGCGACATGGACACAATTCTCATTTTAACTAGTGCTGGGGATCAAGCCCTGGGAGTGCCACTTTACACTGCTTAATGAGGACACTTCAAAAGTGAAATCAACAGAAATTGTGCTCAACAGATTACAAAGGATACTTATTTTCAGCCCAAGAGCTGGGAAGCACAGGCAGAGGGTGACCTTGTCCTAACCCAGATGGAAACATGCAGCATCTGGCCACTTAGAATGATCTGCCTCTGTACACTCAGGTGTATACATGCTACTGTCATCAAGACTAATACAGACAACTAAGTTAGATAAGAGTATTGTAGGCAGTGAGACAGGGCAAGCCCCAAAAGGAACCAGTGCAGAAGATGAGATACCCTGCAACTGTGGGGAAATAGACACATCCACCAAGAGGCGCAGATCAAGAGAAAAGATGAAGTCATTGCACACACATGTTTCTCTTACAGATAAACCACGTTGACGGATATTCTACATAGGTGTTTGTCTGCTTAGGAAAGCCAGGAAGAGCCCCTGGCTTACCTCTTGCAGAGAAAAACCCTGTTTTCATTCATGCCAGCCTGCTACCTTACTGGCTTTCCCATTTAATTCTGATTTAATCAATATTACCTGAGTCATTACACTCATAATCTTATTGGTTGACCATAGTTTTGTCCCATCTCATGTCCACCTTGTCATTGCTCTTTTTCACCCACTTCAACACACCTCACCTTATGGTTTTCCCCTAGAAAATTAGAATGCTCTGGAAACCTGTCAGAAACACTTCTGTCTCTCTCTCAGGCAGAAGATTTCTTTCCCTAATAAATATATTTCGCTCCTAACCTCCACTGTTCCTAGAATTCTTTCTTTGACCTTCTAGAGCATAAATTCATAGCAGACTCATATTAGCAGGTCGGAAGTTTCTTTCCCCTGTATAAAGGCCACCAGAATTGATTGGTGGGATATAAATTATATTGACAAATAAGTCAGCAAATGTGCAGTTTTGCAAATACAAAAGTTCTACAGACTATATAAAACACATAGACTGCACATGTCATAGTCATGTTGGCTCACTGAGCTCAACCTGCAGTATGAGTGTAGTGTTGTTTTAGTATTTATACCATAGAAACACGCAAATCTTTCAACAATGCCCGGCATACCATGTTCAGTCAATAAAGGCTTGGGATTTGCTCTACTTAAATTCCAAGGGATTCGGTCATGAGGATGTAGACAAACCTAAGAGTTTGGGATGAAATGAAACCCGGGCAGGGGCCAGGGATTTAGTTCAGCGGCACAGCGCACGCCTGGCATGCGCAAGATCGGGAGTTCAGTTCCCGGTACCTGAAAATGAAACAACATCCTGGGCAATTTAGGAACTTAGCAAGTCTCTGTGCTAGGTAGATAAGATAGATAAGAAAGAAGAAAGGCAGGAAACATGGAAGGAGAGACTAGGGCTGTAACTCAGTGTAAAGATCATGAGCTCCATATAGACTAGCAAAAGCAACATTTTGTCCTGTCCCTCCCTTTCTGCATGACTGCAGGAGATATTTCACCTGAGAGTATTTCTGTGACTTTCTGTTATTTGTGGTAGACTCTGCAAAAATGCCATTGTGAAACTCTGACATTCTGCATTATGCTAAAAGACAAATTTCTTGGTCACTGCTTTATATCAAATGTAAATTTTGAAAATAGAAGAATAAAAATATGTTTCTAATTTTGCAGAGTACCTACACTCTCTTATGCCATTTCACTGGAACTAACTCATGAGGTACCACTCAGTGGATCCATCTGCACATTGGTGGTGGGTGAGGGCAGCTTTCCAGAACATTGTAACCTAAGTCTCCTTAACCCCCAACACCAAGCACATGGGTTTTCCTCGATTATTTCTTTTCAAGTGTACTACAAATGTGGTATTCATGTTAACCAGGATCCTCAAGCATACTAAGCATGAGTTGTGCCACCACTGAACCTACAACTTGTGTGCATGTGTGTAGGTGTGTGTGTGTTAGTGCAGGTGTGTGTGCAAGTGAGATGTGGAGGATGGAACCCAGGACACAGAGCCATAGGTAAGTGCTTCTCCACTTAGCCATGTTTTCAGCCCAACAAAGATCTTAAGGCAAATTACACAGGAGAGCCCACTCTCCTGACTCCTTCTGTGGGGGCAAGGTTGGCGCCCGGCCATCACCCTTTCCTCTTACCCCAATGTGCTAGGGGACAGTTTGTGTGTTTTCTTCCCTGGCATTCATTGGCCAGTTCACAGTAGCAGGAATGCAGTCCCACTCTCAACACAGTATCTTTTCTGCACTACAACCCCAGGAGGCTGGCCTTGCAAACTTTTTGAGGAAGTGGAGGGGCATCTAAACATGTCTAAATTCTGGGAGGGGGAAATCAGCTCAATTGTTTGCCTATCTGACACATAGTGTAACCTTCCAGAAGATTCAGGCCTCTGAAAGACAAAGAGGACACTTTACAAAAAGGTGAAAGGGAGAAAGTATTTCAAAGTTGGAAGAAATCTGACAAACCAGTAGAAAGAAGACCTCATGCATCACATGTGGAAACTTGTTAGCAGTAAGACAGGGTCATGAGATTTTGAGATGTAACAGGGTGTGACAAATGCCTGTGATCTCAATATGCCAGGAGGCTGAAGCAGGAAGTTGGCAATCTCATCTTCTGCAGTGAAGAAATTCAGTAATAGCCTCTCTCACAATTTAGAAATAAAAAGTCCTGAGAATGTAGTTTGGCGCAAAGGTGCTGGATCGAATTAAAGAGGAGGTTTAAAAGAGCTCAAGCTAAATTTCTAAAACATATCCACAGATGAAACTGGGTGTGGTGTCACATAATTATACTTCCAGCATTCTGTGAGGCTGAGCTGGGAGTTAACGTGTTTGAGCTCAGCCTGGGCAATTTAGTGACCTAGCATAACTCTGTCTCAAAATAAGGATTAAAAAATGGAGAAAGGTTTTGCAACTCAAATCGAAGGCTTGCATTTAAGCCACAAAAGTCAATACGATACAGTATAACAGTGCCTGAAGTGGGGTGGCCACTGCTCAGGATGAATCCCTGCACTCACTCACACCCCCACATTTCTGGCCAGAATTTCACAGAACTTTATAGAGGAGCCTCGTACTGTTGTGGACACTGACAATAAAGTCTGCAGGTCATTAACTCCCCCAATCCAATGCCAACTA